CTCAAACTTGGCCATTTTGGTATTTTCGACGCGCTCTTTCCATTTCTGGCATTCTTTAAGTTATAGCCCAGAATATAAAAATTTTCTCGGAAAAATTTGGTCACGTGACCCCAGCTGCAAAGGGCCTATGCCCTATCACACTTTTATCACAAGATTTCCCCTGCATTCAATCCCCTGGGCTGATCACAGGGTTAGTTTTGGAAATACAGCGGTATATATTCCAAAGGGAAGAGGGACAATTCGAATTTATTGAAAATTGGGAGTTGAGGTTAAATGCAAAATAACTATGGAGAAAATTATAAACCAGACGAATTTCACTCATTTTCTCCTGAAGTAAATCATACTGATGCGTTCACCCTCTTTGTAATCCCCCGGGCTAAGTAAGTGATGCATGCATTATGCTCAATTGAAAGCACACCTTTGTTTCGGCCTGACCACTAGCAAGTAGTACTGATACGTTGAACAAGATGCAGTTCCCTGTTGTACTGATTCAGTAACATGGAATAGATTGTTCCAATTGGAGGAATCCGCCTTGCTCCACTGCTTTGGACATTTTGCCCCTCCCTCCTACAGAAAACGGCTGTTATTACATCCAAAAGATTTGGACACCTCTCTTTGGCTTCTGTAAGTCTTATCTCCCAGCTGAAGTCTCTCATGGTCTCGAAGGACTTCTCTTGTAGTACAGATGGTAGATGACCCCGTGTGTATTTTGCTGCATTCTCGCATTCTTCAAGTATTTCTTCCAAGTATAATCGCTTCAGGTAGTTCCTCACTTCTGGAATGAGCCAAACAGATGAAGCGATTACACTTGGTAGCCTCGACAAAACTGCTACATTAAGTAGTTTGACGTTGATTGTCTCAACAGGTTTGTAGCTTGCGTCTTTTTTCAACTGAAAAAAATCGAAGCAAAACGTAAACACCATGCGGACCTCTTAGGAAACAGCATACTTACGAAAATCATAATTGTTTAGCAGTTATCTTGGTTATCGCAATGTAAACATCAACCAGTTCCAAAAATAGTACTCCAGAAGCACTTCTCTCATATTTCTCTCGTGCAAAAAGCAACGTTCACACAGTTTTATGAATGAGTTCGCCGGAGGGAGACACGCAAGATGAAATTACGTGAGCTGAACGTAACAAATGTCTTTGGCAATT